TCATAAATGTTACATATAAATTCATATAATTTTGATCTGCTTCTATTGACAATAAATTAATTTGTTCTCCATCACGTTCACACATCTAGAGAAATAAATAGACAACGGGAGGATCATAAATGTGAGGACGGACAGAGGAGTTGAAACTTACAACAGCTATTTCAAAATGTTCATCTAGACTTTCTTCTTCACCTTGCTGCTGTTCACCTTCAGGCTCTTCCAAGGGTATATGAACCTAGAAGAAAACAGTAGTTTAGCAAAAAATTCCAAACCATAAAACACCCTTCCATGTCGATGGCTAAATGCTTTCTGGATCTTTACTTGATTTTTAAATAATAATTCAAACATTTTATCGTGCTTCGTCTGTGTTGTGACAATTTGATTTAACTTTTTTTGAATATTATTATTCGCTTCCGTCACTGCCAATTGCATTGATGAATGAATAATCTTTCTTAACATTTGTTCATTTATATCATCCTTTGGGACTACACATTTTGCCGTCAAAGTTTAACTGTCGGTGATGTTGTTGTCGTCGTCGTTGTTGTTAATGTATTTGGCTGATTACTGTTGTCACTTGAAGCCAACTTACGTTTTTTCGACGGATGTTTTCTTGGCTTTAAAACAGCTAAATAAAGCTTCAATTTGTTCGTCATCGTCACTATATTCCATCACACTTTCACTGTCACTTGCATCTTTTTTCTTCGGTGTTGATGCATCTTGTATCAATGTGTGGAGATCTTGTAAAATATCTAGATGAAAGAAAGAAGAAAAAATACGCCATCTGTAAGATTAAGAACAAAACCAAAGTGTTTTAAATCCGTGATTCGGCTTCACATTAGTCGGTCGCTAAACTCCTAAACCGAAGCCAGAAGTGCAGACCTTTTGTTTAAAAAAAAAGAAAGAAACTTGAAACAAATTCTTTACCTTGTGCATTCGATGTTGTTGCTCTGCTCGTTGAATTATCTTTACCAGGAATCAGAACAATTGATGATGCACTTGTTGTATTTTGAACAAGGGCCAGTTTACGCGCGAACGGAATTTGACTTAAATCGCTCAATGCTTTTGTACCTCCACCACCTGCAGCTAAAAAATTAAAAAATGCAAAAGTGATTGTAGACTGCCTTTATTATACTTCGGCGACAGGTTCTTAGAGAAGCGAACAGGAGTATTTCGAATTGTTTGGGTTTAACGACGCTTTTTCTAAACAGATATCGTGGAAATGAGTGTGCGAACAGAATGCATATCGACTATCTAAAATATCACTAAAAATGGAAATTTGTTTCCGTAGGTCAGGTTTGGGTCAGTTCACTCCTTTTTATCGAGAACTTGTTGCTTTTCTTAGTGGAGCTGCTGAAGTGTTTCTGACATTCACAGAAAATTGAAACCCCCTGCATAGTTCCATTCGATGATTTGTTTGTAGTCTCGTTCGTTTGAAGTGCCATCGTCTCATAGTCTTCAACATGGCGCACTTCAAATTAAGAGTTCCAATAACGGTCCCGCAATACTACTGACCTTGCTGGTGAGAGTTGATGAAGAGATTGATACAAAGTAAGATGAAGAATGTAGTTAGCATGATGCTGACACAAAACGAAAATGAATTTTGAAAATGAGGAGAGGCTCGCTCTCATTTGTTATCACGAGATATTGTACTTTGTTCGATGGTGTGAAGGAAATGCAGCTGTGATCGCATGCTTGACAACTGTCCTTTCTGTAGCGACGTTGATCGACGCACCCTCTCTACATGAAATATTTAGCCCTCTACTTTCGATCTTGGGAACGCTAGTCCCCATACTTCTGTGCTTTGCTCATTTGTGTGTATAGAAAAAGGCTAGATCGAAATCAGATGGCTGTTGAAGTGTTCAGTGGGAAACATGCGTCTTGAATTCTGGAAACTCGCTTGAGAGTGTGGAGTGAAAGTGTAGGTGAGTTAAACAAACCGTGATACGTTTCGACTCGGATGAAGGATCTCTTCAGACACTATTGAATTCGTACATACTCACATGATCCAGCTATTACAGGTAGGATGAGGATGAATCTTCACTTCACCCTCACTGTCGGATCAAGGGAACAATTCCATCACGTATCGACTCTCTGGACTATTGCAGACGCGCACCAAACAACTACTCCAATCACTACCGCCTAGAGTCAATGGCGTATTTCACAGACGAGACGAGAAGAGAATTGATGAGTCACTGCGCGATCTTGTCCGCGAAACAATAAACAGAGAGAACTAGTGTGACTAGCACTGGAATTGCTCCTAGAAACAAGAATGCAATTGATCAATAAGTGGTACTTTGATTCATCTTGGCAACTTTCGACAACACTGTTGTCTATAATGCACTGGAGTCCTAGTTTGGCCAAAACAAATAGAGAGAGACATTATTCTTCTCGTTTATTTGTTCTCAATTTGAATAGTAGCGTTTTCGCGAGAGAACAACTATGACTGTGAGCAGATAGCTCACTTCTTTGGAGCACGAAAGAGATTATTATTGGGATTCAGTTGTTTCACGCGGTGACCTATTGCGGCAGGACTGCCCTGAAAGCCACCCGTCTGATGATTTGGTGAACATTTCTCATTATTTTTATTGCATTGGTTCGCATGGTTATCGAGGTGAGCCTTGCGATGAGCGATAGCTGCTGCGTCTGTTTTGTCCACTACGAACCCAGAAAGCATGCAAAAAGGCATTTTTCTTGCAAGTATCGAGCAAACTCACTTGTGCAGTTACTTTTCACGGGAGTACGATGCTAATAGTGTGTATTGTATTGCAAGTAGATAATAGAATGATCGTCACAGACTCTCTCTCTTCAGACTCTTCTCTTCTCTTTGTTCTTGCTCCGTACATCTGCTTTCTTTTCTTATCTCATTCGATTCTACATGTTTTGTGCCATATCTCCAGGCATCCGAGTGTTATGTGCACGAAATATCTTTCATTATCTGATGTTCGACGCAATTCTGCAGGGGATTGGTTTTCGTGTTTTTCTTATTCGATGCAGATACAGTCTGAGAGCAAGAGAGAGAAAGACAGTACATAGACTCGAAAAGAATCGCTCAGTATTGGACAGTCATTCACGTATGGCGATGGAACAAGAATTCTGATTCATATGGATCTGCAACAGTTGCCCATAACTCTGTTCGTATACGTTAGACTAATAATAAAGAATAGGAAATCTTATCACAAGGAATTGACTTGAACAGGTTGCTCACTACTCAGAGTTACTGTCGAATACTGATAAAATATCGTCGTTCGTTCAATATTCTCTCAGGAAAAAGGACTCCACCGATAATGATTGGATACTGCTAAGGCAAAAAAGAGTTTTTAAAATTTTGAACTGCAGGGTACATCTGATTCTCCGCCATAACTGCGTGAATTAGAGCACTTCGACACCTATTTGCAAATGTGATTAAAGATACTATCGCATTAGCGTCACTGCTAAAATCGATTTCAATACGTTCGTAGACGACACCAGTCCATGGTCGTGATTATTTAACATCATGAGTTGATTCTCATGAGGCTACTGTATCCGATACAAGTGACTATTGATCGATTTGAATGGAAAACTAGTTGCCAACATTTGAGATCTTTGCTATCAGGCAAGTCTAACGTTGATAGTTCTAGTTGATCGTGAAGCACCAATAAGAGACAGACGATTTTCTACCAGTCTTTCCAGAAAGAGCACAAGATATACACTAACGTATTAGTGAACTTATCACATACAGCTGTGACAGGAGAATTCACAACATGCTGAACAAAGATGTCAAGGTCAGTTGGTCCGATTATTTTTTTCTTTCAGTTGGTCAAAAGTCTTCTCTATATTCTAGCTATTCTGGTCTTCAACCGAATTGATATTTTTATTCTAGAAGATGAAAAGCAATCATTTTTTTCTCTCATCATCGAACAACTCAGATTAACAAAGCAATATGTCAATGTTGTCTACCTATAATAACAACTACTCCTGTAGTGCTTCAGAAATCAATTCGAGATCACCCCTTGTCAATGATCAATATTAATAGATAGGATCTAATGATCAAATTAAGTCTAGATAAAGACTTGACTATCTGCTTGAAAAAAGCAAAAGAATGATTCGGAATGAGACGAGATCGATACCATCGGACACAAAAGAAGGGGACAATTGAATCAATTTGTAAGACTGCTGACATCAAACAACTATGAACATTAGTTGAACGGCCGATTTTGATTGATCTAGGGAAGATTCCAGTCCTTGGATGAAGTGTCACATTCTCTGAAGGACCGAATCGATCTGTTGTAAATTGCGAAGTAAGGATGAAGTTTTTTTTTAATCTACATCACCACCTTCTCCTTCTTAGCGATGATGAAAGCATTTGATAACTTCTACAACAACTCCATCCCACCGAATGTGAAGCAAGGAGATGCACCGGGGCCAGGTTTACAAGATCATTATATCGGAGCGATTGCTTCTTTGGCAGCGAGATTCGTTAATAATAGTGCCGTTCTGGGATTCGAGGTAAGTTGTGATATGTTCCAATGCTGATATCGCTGTTTGTTGTTTCATTCACTAGATCATGAACGAACCACAACCTGGTACCAACATTGATCAGTACACTTTTTCCAGCAACTATCTATATCCCTTCTATAAACGTGTGATACAAGCGATCACCGGCGTTCGTGATGATTTACCCGATTGTCCGCAGTATGCTCCAACAGGAATCAACTGCGCCTATCCGAATCTAGGCATCAATGATAATCGACATTTGTTCTTTTTTGAACCCACTTCGGTACGCAATCTGCTTGATTACACGCCTCAAAACTCAGTACCATTCACATCCTACAAAAATATCGTCTATTCTCCTCATGTTTACACTCATGTGTTCACCATTGATAGCATACTACATTTAAATCAATCCGACTACCCACCCTCATTCGAGTAAGTACCTGTGACAATCAATTATTAGCACTTTTCAAATGAGCCTAGCATAAGAGACGATCTTCTAAGATTCATTGTGAAGATTTTCTGGACTGCTCTAGCTATGCCTATGAATCGGCGTTGAATGAGTCCGTCGGTTTACAAACGGCAGTTCCGGTAACAGAATACGGTTGTGGTGCGGATGCGGATGACACCTTGTTGACTCCCACTATCGAATCCCAAGACAAGGCCATGATATCGGCGATCGTATGGCCATGGAAAAACAATTGCTTTCAGGCACGTTGCCAAACCAGCTGGAGCTTGTACGACTTGGGATCACAGAACGGTTCAGTGGCAAACCAAAATAGCCCTGAACCTCCCAATCGCGTTCGAATATTATCCCGAGTACATCCACGTGGTGTTATTGGTCAGCTACAGCACTACTTCTACAATGCCACCACCTCGTCATTTGTCATGACTGCTAAATGTCTGAATCAAGCAGCATTGATGTCAGTGAACGAAACACTCGTTTACATCCCGAGAAGATTGAATAGCTCCGTGGTAAATGTCACTGGGCAAGCAACCTTGAAGACTGTAATCCAAAATCCGGATCAGAGTCGTGTAGTTGTCATTAATCCAACATGCACTGGACAATATCAAGTACTAGTGGCGAACACTACCGATGAAATTCGCGCATTGTATCAAGCGGAGCTTACGAACAAGCATGCGGAGACTGAATCGAATGGTCGTCATCAAATAAAAAGGTCCATGCAAAGAGCCTTCGCATTGTTTCAATCTTGCATGAAACTGCTGTGAGAACTGGTGAAGCATTTACGTCAATGTACGCCGATTCAGGAAACAAGGTAATGGTGTCCACGATTAGCACTTTTACTTTGATAATCTGACTGTATGCTCGTGATGTTTTCTTGTTTGATTTAGTTCGCCGCATTGCAGAGTGCTATGGAAACCAATATCAAACAACTGATGCCGCAGCTGAACAAGTTTCAGCAGTAAAACTTGACTTCTCTCTAACCGTTTCGTTCACAATTGAACAAATACATCTCATGTAAAAATTTTAAAAAATTTAACGACTTAACGGAAAAAGATGTTACCTTTTTGATCATAAAAACGCGTTAAAAATGCTTTTTAACGAAGTCTAACGAGTTTTCTTCCGTTAATCACGTTTTTAACGCGTTTTTATGATCAAAAAGGTAACATCTTTTTTCGTTAAGTCGTTAAATTTTTTATAATTTTTACATGGGATATACGTTGATTTTGTACAGGTGGAGTCTTCTACAAATGTTTCTCAAAAGGAACATCTTCAATTTACTTATTTCTGACGAGATTTATAATTTGAATCGCTCGTACATTCTGAGACTGTATTTTCATTGTGCTACATCTAGGCGAAACATACAGAGAGAGATATCATCTTTTGCTCAATCAAAAGCACAAGTTAGCCATAGAGCTAGGGAATTTTTACCTCTCGTTATAGAAAGTATGATAATCAGACTTCCGCTATATTAAGCGTAATCTGCTCCTTGTTTTCACGAAGGTGACTGATCAATCACCACGAAAAGAAATGGTCAAGTGCTAAATATCTTGCTATCTATGGATAGAGATGAAACTTGTGGCATTACCATTCACATCGATTTCGCTGAAAAAATTCGTTGATAGTCCTCCAACAGTTGTAAGACGAAACCGATCTTGAATGAATTCGTGGTGGTTAAAATTCGTTGACACAATTGATGAAGGAAAACTGTCGACAAAACTGGTAAAACTTATTTTTCTCCACTGTCAGTACAGTATTGCAATCTTGTAAGCGGAAATGGTCGAAATGAACCGTATTGTCTTCAGTATTTTTGGTCTTGGATTTCAGAAAGAATGCCACAAATTCTAGTTTATCAAGTACTTTCACTAGCATGGCATTTCCATTGTCAAATAATGCGACTTGATTAATCTTAAGACGGCAGTCAACGTCTAAGCTGCAGACAGGTTTCGAGACGTCTTGAGTATGGAAGACAGAAATATCTGTTTTCACTTTATTCGACTGGCTAACTTGATATCGTTGATACCAGATGTATTTCGATCTTTCGTGCTTGTAACAGTCAAATAATCCTTGCGAATCATCGTCCTGAAACCATAAATGCGGTGTACCAGCAGATAAGTCATAGCAATAAGTCAGCCGATTGGAGCCATCTCGATATTGATAGACTAGGTACTGATCGCCGATGAATTTAATTTGTTCTAGTTGCTTGAGATCGTTCTTCTCGAACGATAAGGTGACTTTTTCGGTACTTGTGACATTCTCTATCCGATACACCTTCATCGATTTAGTACCAAGGTCAACTGGCTTTGATATCATAGCAAGGTATTGACCTTTGGACGATGTTTCCACTTTATGTATTGGATGATCTCCAACATCGAGAGGCAGCACTGAGCAACGTCGTGCAGATATTTCAAAAATGAAGACAGCCGGATTTGATTTATGTTTGAATATCACTGTTTGTGAATTGACTGAATACCACTCGACATTCACCCATTTTGCAATGATTATTTCGAAACAGAGTAAATTGCAATCGAATAGAACCAACGAATCAGTATGTTCACGATCGTTGTGAATGCTCATTACTATATGGTTTTGATCGATTTTCTTGACCACTTTTGATTCATCGCAGATGAATTGTTTGACGATGGTGAATTGATCGATGTTCAAACAAAAGTAGCTCTTTTCTGAACGACAAAATACAAGTACGAATTGTTGGCTAATGAAACAGATGGGTTGTAAGTCATTGCGCAAGTACTTGTCAATTTTACACGTTCGTACTACGTTTTGTGTAGACAAGTCATATAGAAGGAAAAGTTCTTTGAAACTCTCATCGAAGACGTTGTAAACAAAGACATAACGAGACAGGGTATTGAAATCATCGTATAAAAATCGAATCATTCGAGAATTCAATCGATCGAATAGATTGACAGTGCTGACATGTTGCGATGACTGATGCGATAACGGGGCGCTCTGGCTCAATTCCCAAATGTGAAGTTTATTGTCCCAAGTTGCACTGATGACTGTCATATCGTCCAGAAGAGAACAGCTGTTCATCTGCGAACTGTGCTCTAAGATAAAATCGGTTTGACGTTTTTCGATATCTAGTACATAGATGTAATTAAATGCATTGCAATATATTTTCGTGCTGTCCAAGGACGATCTCCACATTCTTAAAGCCTTATTAATTGGTATTCGCCTTTGTATCTCGAGTGATTCGAGATGACACAAGAGTATATTCCATTCCATATCCTTTTCGTCATAGGGAGACTTGAAAATACGTCTGGTCGATATTGCCAAAGTGAGATTTTTCAGAATCAGAAATCTCCGACCCATTACCGTCTGATCCTTGAGGTCGCGAATCTGACAGTTTCCAAGTTCATTTAGTGATAAAACAATGGATTCCGTATCTAGACTCATGACAATTCGATCGAGCGCTTTGTCGAGGCATACAATTTTATCAGCTTTCCTAGCGAGCTCTTCAGGAATAGGAAGACTACTTTGAACAGCTCCCGTTTGCCAATCGAGATGATACCAGTGGTTTTTTGTCACTAGCCACAAGTCGTTGTGCAGATCACTGAATACTATTTCGCGATGTTTAGTGACATCATGTAGAGCCTTTGCATCGACACTAAATAGATGCTCGCCGGTATCCAGATTGAACGCTTCGATGATGGGTTCAGTTTTGTGCTTGTCTTCTGTTATTCTGCACCATGCATAGAGAATCGTATCATCGTTAGATATTGTTAGGATCGTAGTGGAATCGAATTTCTTATAGATGCTGAGTTTTTCGGTTAACGTTTTGCTGTCAAATACTTTGATACAGTTATCAACAGAACAGGACACAATTGTTCGATTATCATTACTGATCACCGTTGACTTTATCTCTGTCTTGTGAGCCATTAGACTTTTACTCAACAGGTTATTTGGGCCAGCCATGAACCTTCCACTTGAGACAATAGCGTCCTCTATCGGTGACAAGCATTGTTCGAGTAAATTTTGCAGATCAGCACTATTCTCATAATTGTGCAATCGACCATACAATTGACCTGGCAGTTGTAACGGATCTTGACGGATTTTGTAGGCTGCAATCTGCAATACCTGGTGAACTAGCCTGATGGTCAGGTCGCTGGGATGATTTTGAAGAGCGAATTCGTAATCAGCTATCAGTTGATCGATATCTGATCCCTGAGCTTTGGTTTGCATGAACTTGAGATTGAGCAAAAAATTATTCTTCAGATCGTCGATGTTGTTGGCACAAGTGGCATGATACGGCAATTCATTCATCCAAAATGGATTCACTTTATTGAACTTTTCATGGTGATAAGTTTTGACAATAGTTTTATGGCAAGCTTGGTTGCTCAGGTCATCTTGACAGTATCGATCGGTGGCTACTTCCCAAAATGCTCGATGATACCAGCGATACATTGGTCCACTCAAATATTCTCTAAGGGCATGGATCAAGCGAATGAGAAATATTTGAGGAATGCTGCCCGATGAAAATTTGTGATCTTTGAATTGATCATCAATATACATAAGCACAGTTGAATCATTGGCTAGAATCTTTTGCAGGTAATTTTCAAAGAAGCCATGGCGACTCAGTGTCATATACTGTAGTACTTTTTTGACTAAGACTATCCCATAGGACGTCTCAAGTTTTTCCAAAAGATCATGTATGGCTGGCTTTACTTCATCACTGATCGACATGTTCTTCATTGAGATAGAATGATGCCATTTAATGGCTTGGTCCATGACTAATTTGATGTATAGTGGAATACTGCATTTCTGAAAAAGCTTTAGTAAATATTGGATCTGACCGTCGGTGAGCTTTCTTTGAGCATTTTCGAGTCGGTATTGAATTGCTGACTCGATTTCATCTTGATTTAATGGTTTTATCTCAATGTAGTTGTGTGAGTTTCTTCTGAAAAGCCGTTGAAGAGCTGGAAATGCTTCGAACTGACTATCAGTTAGCGTAGACACGATGAAACGGATATTTTTCGGCAGCATCATAGGAAACCATTCTAGCTTTCTACTCCCGTATTCTGGTGATAGTTGATCTAAAGAATCTAACAAGATAAATATTTGCTGACCGTCGGTGCATTCTTCACTAACTTCGACCAGAAATTTCTTGAAATAATTGTATAATTTATCAACGGGAGTCATTTCTTCGTAATTGATGGTCAAATCAAAATAATATGCTAGCTGCTTGATTATGGACGACAACAAATTCTGGATATTGTACGAGTCTTCGGAAGTTCCGATGAATCGAAGAATCGTAATAAAAGCGATATTACTGAACCAATTTTTCAATTTCTCTGCGGTTTTTGCCACCAAGCTGGTTTTGCCGCTTCCGGAGACTCCATGAAGAACGACATATTGAGCGCCCTGTTCTACCATCAAGGATCTGATCTGATCAATGAATGCATGTCGTCCCATAAAGCCCTTGACTTTGTCATGACAAAATCTGAGGTGGTGAAATAGATCAGCATGTTTTTCCATAACATGAAATAGGATATCATTCTTATTGATATTAGCTTCTACCAAATTGACCACTTTGTGTTCGAAAGAAGCAGCGAATTCCTCTAAGTAGTACTGAAAAGTTTCCTTGACGAGCGTGGTTTGCAAGAGCTCCGGCGTTGAATCAATATCGAGAGCGAACTGTTTCACATTTCTTCTTTGTAATTTTCGTTTCATGCGTTCTTTCAAACTGTTGAGCATTGTTTGACAATCGTACTCGATTTCCTGTCTTGTCTGATTTATATCGACATACTTATTGAAAATATCTAGCAAATTCGGTTCAATAACGCCACTTTTAAACTGATCGAAAACATTGATATGTCGAAAAAATGCCAGACATCTCGAATTGCAGTCAATGGTATTGAATAGGCCTTCTTGAATTTCTACTTCTGTCACTGATCGTGTATATTTAATGAGCGCATCTTCATCCAAATCAGCAGCATGGGCACTCACCCGTAGTTGATTGAGAAGGAGTTTGCTATCGTTTTGCTCCCACCTGCGTTTTAATGCGTCATCGTCTAATGATTTCAAATTGTAGGTAGTTGGTCTACTATTTTCATCGATCTCATACCAATAATACAGTAAGGTTTGTCCACTCTGGTCGCAGTGCTCAAGTAAACGATCAAACTCCGTTTTCAAAATGGATTTTGGTGCAAATTTGGAACCATAACGATGAGATAGGATGGCAATGAAAAATGGTCCATTCGATAATTCTCTTGCCAGTTTTATTTCGTCGAGGCAAATTTCCGTCGTCAGTTGTTCGTTAGAAGCCGACTCGAAGATACCCCATCTCATATCCACGATCTGTAAGATGTAACCTTTCGCTGAGCAATACTTTTCTAGTTTTGGGCAAATTACATGCATAATTTTGTCACGCTCCTCGCCCATGTCTTTGAATGTTGAACTGATGAAGAGTCGAATAATTCGACTTAAATTGGGAATTTTCGCGTGGACATCGCCGTTCAGAGCGATGCGTTTGAGGCTTTTTTCATCATGAACAGTATCATTTGCACTAGGAAATATTGGCCTAATGTACCCCTGAGGAGAGTCATCGGGTGAATCCAGAACCATGTTTTGTATGTTGCGTGATGAATTTTTAAGTGCTGAAATTGAACTTTAATTAGCAACAGCCTAGTAGGATCTTTCACAATAGTTCGTAAGCTCCAAAGCCTAAGTTTTATAGTCCCGACGTTTGCATATTGTTTTTCGAACGAAATTAGTTTCTGTTATCCCTTGGTGTGTCGTAGTGCTACATAAGCTCTGAGCAGATAGGTTCGAACAAGAATTTCTTCTGCGAGTTTAAGATGCTCAGAAAAGGATGGACTTCTTTCGCTCAACTAGTTTCGTGGTTCCACCGAATGGGATTAAGAAATTCTCTCTAAGAAAACACATAGGAAATAGGCTGTGAAGCAGAAGAAAAGACTAGACCCTTCATCAGGATAGACGATAGCGCTGTGAAGATCAAAGTGCCTCGAGTAGTTCTCCTATTACTGATCATCACCGAAAACTTACTCTATCGGACGTTTCGGTTGTAGACAAGTGGAGGCGCGCGAAGTTTCTTGTTTACTTTCTGCATATGACTGAATCCGTTGAAAATATGCCCATCTTGGAAAAAACATTCTGGATTACTCATGCGATTCTTTTTCCTTCTTTCCTTCTTCCGACGTCAACTCTAATGTCGCATGGTGACAGGTAAAGAGAACAGGAAGAAAGCATTCTTTCACCCTGCATACATCTTGTTTCGTACTATTCTGTCTCTACTGCATTGGAGAGAAGAGTGCTATATACTGTCACGGCCGATGCATCTTTGAAGGGACACTTTGTTTTTTCCTACTGGTTCGTGTTTGATGTTTCGCTCGAACGCAATACTGATGAGTGGCAAAGAAACCGCACTGGTATTTTCCACCTAATGCCTCCCTCAGTTTCGTCGACAAAGAGCAATCAAATAACATCCGCTGATCAGTCGTTCCCTATAGCTCAGATCTAATTGCTTGTTATTGTACCGAACGGAAGCGAATGTACTAAAATAATCACTGAAAAGAGAGAAGGAAAACGAAGAAGACCCGTACTCCATCAGAACTCAGCGCATTCGCGAGTTCAGATTTCTATTTGATGTCGATGCTGTCTTTGAATCACTCTCCCGCATGTGAATGCATCGTTGTGCGATTTCATAGCGACCGATTTCTCATAGAGATATCACAGCTCATCAATTCCATAGCTGAGATAAAAGTATAAATCTAAGAAAAGAAGTGTATATAGCTCTCATTACAACAGTATTAAGTCTCACAGTAAAGCATCAAAACTAATTCTTCCACTTCAAAATGGTGAAAAAATGGATAACCCATCGACGCGTTGATCAGAAACGTGCCTAGTGTAAACGGATCATCATTCATAATAAAGCTTCACAGGGAGAATACCACCGTTTTTTCATCGTGATTATGATCGAAGTGGATTTCAAGATAGCATACAAGATGCTCTCTGGTCAAGGCTTGCTGCACTGAATTGTAAATTGTTTTTAGAAAGGGCACCCGCAGGCCTTTTAGCAAAGACTGCTGCCTCGCAATTTACTGCTTGAGCAATGTCAAAGAAGTGTATCATGCAGCATAATATTCATTTTTATCCCGTTTTGTATCTCATCGGTTTTCGAAGTACCAATTTGTTACGTAGTCGTTCCGATTGAAAGATTTCTTCCAGGCTCGAGAGATCGATACGAAGAGCCTAACAGTTCAAGAAAGAACTGTCGTTTCAAAATTGAGAAAAATATACTGATTGCTGTCGGTGAAGTTTGATGATAAGTTAATATAAGATTGCATATTTGAGTACTTATGGATTCGATCTATCTGTTACAATATGACTTTTACAATGTGTCTCAAGACAAATACGCCCAATACTGATTCGTCTTGTATTTCCATAAAATATGCTTTGACTATGATGTTTGAGACGCAGTTTTTAGCTTGAATGTGTTCAGAGATGATAATTCAAACAAATGCACAGCGACTTTGGCTTAAAGTATATCTTTATCCCAATGTTGAAATGTCTTATCAATAATACCAACCTTTCTGCGTATTTGGAGCGTCCTTAGAAGTTATCAGAAAAATAGCTGGTAAATTGTTTATCTTTTTTCTAGAAGACTTTACATCAGTTGTTATAATCAAGATAAATACGCTTTTCGCAGATGAAGCCAACGTTCAATTGAGTGACATTATTCACCATTGTAAATCATTTGATAATGCAAAAGACAGTTCTATATCGTATATTGAACAGAGCATTGAGAACACAAGAAATGTGTATTATACTCAAATTTCGATTAATTATCCGTGATCTTCATCATACACTACTCGCATTACATTCTCAATCATTAATAACAAACAATCTCACTTTGTATCGAGGACAAAGAATATCTTCGGAAGAATTACAAAGTACTGTATTCATTTTGTTTCTCTTCCTAATTATTTTATTTAAAATTTGTTACGTTTCGTTGTAGTTTTACAACTTCGTCTTTATGTCTGACGAAGTTGTAAAACTACAACGAAACGTAACAAATTTTAAATAAAATAATTAGGAAGAGAAACAAAATGAATACAGTATTATCAACCTTCCTGAACAGAAAGGAAGAATTACCAAGGTTGAAAAGCAAAGTTGATAGTCTAATTTGCATGAATACATTTTTGTCTGCGACAACTAATAAAGAGGTTGCATTGATTTTTGCAGGCGGTGAGAGTACAAAAGATACCAACTCGGTGTTATTCGAAATAACGATTGCTGATACGTCACCAACACCATTTGCAAACATTAAGGAATTTTCACAGTTTCAAGATGAAGAGGAATATTTATTTTCAATTAGAACTGTATTTCGAATATCACGAGTCGAATTCAAGGATGAAATTTGGGTTATTAAATTAATATTGGTGGGTGCTGATGACGGAAAACGAAAAACAATAATCAATGAATATCATTTGGAGCGTCCTTGGAAGTTATCAGAAAAATAGCTGGTAAATTGTTTATCTTTTTTCTAGAAGACTTTACATCACTTTACATCAATTCAACAGTATTCTGTAGGCTTGGGACTAGAAACAGATGGTGTTAGCCGTGACGGTAGCCGGTTACATGGTCGGCATCTTCCAATAAGAAGTTCGCCGTAACATCTCCACATTTAGTTCTAAGAACACAGATTCAAGTAGAGTAGTCTTAAGTTCTTACTAAATTCAGCGTTTTGATTGTTTTGCACAGGCACAGCTGAAAAGTGAACATAATTTTTCCACAGGTCAACGTTCTAATCTGTCCTCTCTTGAATGTTGAAAACTACATGTCCAAGGGGGGAAAAGCTGATTTGAAGCTCTTTTCGATTTTAGCCGATTTTGAACGATTTAAATCGATTTTGGACCACCGAAATCGATTTCAATCGGTTTTAGTCCACTGTGATAGATTTAAGTCGATTTCAATTCGATTTCAAGCGATTTTGTGGCTCAGAATCGATTTGAACTGATTTAAATCGATTTTGACCGATTCTGTCACTCAAAATCGATTACGCAAGAATCGATTTTCAGTCATTTTGACACCCAAAACCAGCTTTTCTTCCCTTGAAAATGACTGAAAATCGATTCTTGCGGAATCGATTTTGAGCCACAAAATCGCTTGAAATCGATTTGAAATCGACTTAAATCTATCGCAGTGGACTAGAACCGATTGAAATCGATTTCGGTGGTCCAAAATCGATTTAAATCGTTCAAAATCGGCCAAAATCGAAAAGAGCTTCTAATCAGCTTTTCCCCCCTTGTACATGTCTCTAGCTTTCTCCGTTCAAAAGTTATTAGAGAAACGGGAAATCCGCGGGAATTCTATTTCAAATGGATGATAGTATCATTCTTTTTCTAGGTAATGAAACGGTGTTATCACTTGTATGGATAAGTACTGGTATAATTATAAATGAAATAGGAAATAGAATACAACAAGAGCTTGGATTACCGATACATCTTTTTAACGAAAACAATATGTGTTCAAAGTATATTCATTCGAACAATACGAGAGACCTTTTTGTAA